CACCAAATCACAGACTGTGTGATCACACAATCACACAATCACAGAATTAACAAATCACAGACTGTGTGATCACACAATCACACAGAATCACAATCACACAGAATTACCAAATCACAGAATCACAGAATCACACAAAATTACATAGTCACAGTATGTGATCACACAATCACAGGGAATCACAGAATCACACAAAATCACAGAATTACCAAATCACAGACTGTGTGATCACACAATCACAAAATCACAGATAATCACACAATCACACAGAATCACAGAATTACCAAATCACAGCCTCAGAATATGCTGAGTTGGAAGGCACCCATCAGGATGGTGGAGTCCAGCTCCTGGCCCCGCACAGGACACCCTGAGAGTCACGTCCTGTGGCTGGGAGCATTGTCCAAACTCTTGAACTCTGGCAGGCTCAGCAGTACTCCCTCAAGAGTTTCCACAGGAGATTTGGATAAATTTTTCTTCCAGTTGATATGTATGAAGCACTGTTGATGGCACAATGGCCACAACAAATGTGTATTTTCAGATTTTAGCTTTCCTTCCTGGTCTTTGGCTTTACTGTCTTGTCCATTAACATTGGCAGTTTGTTAATGGAATAGGAGAGACCTTTGTGATGTGCTTTAGCTCAGTGATGTTATGGGGGTAAGGACATTTTCCACCATTATGGTTTGATTTCTGGGAGCAAGAATTAGCCTTAAAGAAGGAAACATGAAAACTTAACTAGATGTAAACTGATAGTCAAAAGTGATAATGAATTTGCACACACAAGCACATAAGACAAGTTGGTCAGGGTAATAAACATCACCAGATGGAATATTTTTTCAATAATACGTTGGGAACTACTTTGTGATTGAAAAGGCCGTAATTCAAAAATTACATGAGTGTAAGATTAATTATACAAATGGAATTGTTCAGATAACCAGCCAACACCCATTCCAATGTGCTGCTAAACAGAAATGACTAAACTCTTTATATGGAGTTTCCACTTTTTCAACTGATAGTATCAAATGATAGTATCTACTACATTCTATATATATGCATCTATAGATAAACAAATGCCTTATTTCTTACCCTTTTAGCCCTTCAAAAAGGACTGGTTTGCATTGTACTTTGCTTTAGAGCAGCAAAGAGTAAGATGTATTCATTAGTTAGGTGTCAGTACTTTGTTTTTAGGGAATGCAGACCCTGATGCCCTTCCCATAATCCACCTGAATTTAAAGAGAGAGAACTTAAAATTCCTTCACAAATTTCTACACTAAGCTCAGGCTGTGAGATGTCTGGATTTGACAAGGTGTCTTTCTGCACCTTTTCAAGATATTCACATCTGTAGGAATATAATCACGATAAAGAGGTCTGTAATAAAATTCTGTATTATTAATAAAACAAGAATAATGCTGTTTTCTAGACTGGAAATATACTTTCCAAATATGGCTTAAAACTGTATGTTGAATAAAAGAACATGGAAACAGTAAGGTACAGCCACATCAATTTAAATTAAATGCTAAAAGTACAGATCTATTTACTTAGGGCTTGGACTTGTGCTTACACCTCCCCAACAGTATCCCAGAAGACAAATTTTTGATACAACCTTATGAATACAAAGAACCAGTAGTTACAGGAATGTTTTCCCCTACCTTTCACATGGGAACAGATGAAGATCTTGGCCTGTAGAGCCTTTGTCTAATCCCTTTGTTTGCACTCAGCCAGAGTGTTTAAATGAAATTTTATTCAAGAAATGTCAAACGCTGAGACCTCTACCCTCACTAATCTGAAGATTGCTGTAAGAATATGTTTAAAATAATAAAAACCTAATTTAATAATTAATAACAAATAATTTAATAATGCTAAAAATAAAATTATTTATTATTACATCTCTGATGCCTAATATAAAAACACCCTCCATCCAAAATGATTACCAGCCATGCCAAATGGAGAAATTAAAATCTTGAACAAGACAGAGTCTTCCAATCATTATCAGTCTAGATCCAGCACTCCTAAGTTCAAGGGAAAAATGGAGAGGAATGGTGCAGATAAATGGAGAGAAGGGCTGACTGAGAGGCATTCTGCCTCTTCTCTGTGCCAAATGAAAGAAAATTGCTTGCACTGTAAACCATCAACCCATCAACTGAGCTTGGGGCTGCCAAAAAGCCTGGCAGTTTTAACATTTCACCCAGTCTCTAAGTTTCTATCATTCTGCATTTTTGCTGCAGTGTCTGCAGGGCTTGTCTTGTTTATTCTGTTTGGCATTTACACCTGTTTAATCCCCAGATAATTTTATGTTTAGTTGAGTGCAAATAAGGTAAGGATTCATATGAAATTACATGAACAAATATTAATTCTTTTTAACGCTTCCAATACCAAATGTTTTATTTCTTCAAACAATTTTCTTTACTTCTGGAGTGTTAATAGTTTTTAGTATTGATTCCCTCTTCAGTTAGACATATTAGCAGTTTTAATTGGTAGTAATTTGCATATTTTAAATTATTTACCAAAGTAACTTCATTTTTTGGGAAGGAATTATAGCATGTTTTTTGTAATTTCTACATTTCAGATTCCTATCATACAAAAAATAATGAAAAACTGATTATTCATCGATGAACCTATACTTTTATTTGTGTTTTGTGAACACAATACAGAAGTACTCTCACAATCTGGGGATCTTCTTTATTTTAAGTGGACTTTGCTACCATGACCTATTTTCCTTAAGAGTTCATAGAAAAGGTCAGGGCGAGGGGATGAGGCTTGTTGATTGGCAGAGAATATGGGATGTTTGTAATTTTAATAAAATTTAGTATTAAGACATACTTCAAATAATATGTCAGCCTAGTGTTAGTGAGTTTAAAACCTAATGACAACTGCTGTCATTATTAGTTTAATATAGCCATTGTGCCTGTGGCAATAAATGATGACACTTCAGAACATGCAGAAACAAAAAGCTCTCAAGTATTTAAAGAAAAGGGAGTGACTGTAAACTTAGTTAAACACAGGAATGTGACCTGGGCATAATATGTTTCCCCAATAGAGAGGCATCTGGAATTTGAACAGAGAGCATAATTGAATGGAACATTATCTGTTCTTCCCACTAGGGTTTAAATTTTAATTTTATTTTTAAATTTAATTTTGATTTAAATTTTAATTTTGTTTCAACTTTATTAAGGAAACTTGGGCCTTTCTTCCTATTTTATAAAGATAAATCAGGGAGTTTAATATTTATTATACCACTTTTATTGCTACATAAGATATATTTCAGGTTCATGTCTCTGTTACTATTCTGTACCCTTTAAAATGTGTTGCTCAATTTTTCAAAATCCTAAAAAGTGGGAACTGAGGAAAATTATGTCCTCTTATTCATAGATAAAAATGTATTTTTCCCGGCAGTATGTTTTAGACTCATGAAGTTTTGAAGTTTGCTCCTGGCAGTGTTTGGTATTTATTTCTGTGAAGATGAGAAAAGATAAAGAAGTTAAAGCAAGATGTGTCTGAGTACATAGGCATAATGTAATATATAGTATACAATATCAATGTATGTGTAATGCCTTTTGCTTGTCCCCTTAAACCCATTAATTTATTGATTTCTGTAGTTGAAGAAAGTTTCTTACAAGTCTGTAAATCTTGTTTAAGCAACAACAGCATAAAGGAATTGTGAAGGAAAGGGTAGAGGTGTCAGGAGAGTAAGAAAACTGAATTTTGAAATCAATTCAATGTAAACAGGAAATGGAAACCTGGGCTCATGATCAGTGTAGTCCTCAGACAGGGATATAGGGAATGTCATATGAGGATTTTAGGTCTCTGAGAGTTTTTATTGTCATTCTACTGTGGCCATTCTTCATTCCTAACAGTGTTTGGGTAGGGGCTGCTTCCATTTAGGTAATATATTCTCTTTACCCACACTTCTCAGTGTAATATCAGTTTGCTGAGGTAATTTTATTTTCTGTGCCAAATTACTGACTAGTGTTTCTGATATTTTTTTTGCATAATTTAAATGACTAACATTGAGTATAATAAGAAGAATATAATTTAATTTTTGAAATTTGTGGTAAATTCTGGCACAAAAATTTATGAAAAATGTGTGTATAAAATTAGGCTAGTATTTGTAGATTTGCAGTATCAAGTACTCAGTGTTAACACAGTGCTTGTCTAATTAAGGTAGATTAGAGCTGGTAGTAACTTGTCCAACTGTCTGCTGCACAGTGGCAGATTACTGAGAATCACAGGATGATTTGATTTGGGAAGGATCTCTGCAGTTCACCTCATCAGGTCTCCTCAGATAGGGATAACTTCAGAGGCAAGTCTGAACATGAATCAAATCCACTTGTGTTGAAGCAATGCTGTTAGGTCCTTGTAGATGAACTAAGTAACCAATGCAAGAAGGACTTATATGCCAAACAGCTTCCCTGGTTTGATTTTTGGATTTTTTTTTTTTTTTTTTGTAGTTGTTAGTTATAGGATACTATCTCTCCCTAAAAACCCTGTCAGTCTTTCCATTGTCCATGTTTGCTCTATTTCTGTTACTTATCCTTGTCACAAATGAGATTTGATGCCTCTGATTAAACACCTTGTTTGGACATTATGGAAGCCTGGGGTTACAAAATCCTTAAAATCCTTACCCTAGTACCAAACCAAGTTCTTTATTGTCAATGGTCTGTAAAGTCAGATTCCCATGCCTTTCCCCTTTCCCCTTTCCCCTTTCCCCTTTCCCCTTTCCCCTTTCCCCTTTCCCCTTTCCCCTTTCTCCTTTCCCTGCTTTTGCCTTTGCCTTTTTCTTTCCTTTTTCTTTCCCTTCCTTTTTCTTTCCCTTCCTTCCTCTCTCTCTTCCCCTGATAATTTGTCATTGCAGTACAGACCAATAGCAACAGGAGAGAGATATCAGAGCACTCTGCAAACTGGAGACTGTGGGCACCGTCCTAGGAATTGTGAAAGCTGGAGCTGTCAGAATGAGAAGGTTATAGAATCTGATGCCCCTCTGCCCAGGAAATAGAAACACTTGGCCACTCTATAAATGAGACTTTACCATGACTCTTCAGGTAATTTTTAAATGTAAATGCTGATTTTCTTTGTGACAAGTGCTATCACTGTTTGTCTTTGTATTTAGTGTATATCATTGAAGGAGTTTTGCTTTGGAGGTTCCTGGCTTGTGAGCCCCAAAAGACTGGCAGCTGCTGAATAATCAAACCAGACAGGATCATGATGCACAGAAGTGTCAATGTACAGACAATTTTAGGTGGCAAGAATAATTTCTGTTTGAAAATAAGGGAAGACAAAGATACTCAGGTACTTGATTTTATGTCCGTGCCACTCTGAAGTGGCAGAAGTGTATTGATTACCATGAATAAACTTCTTCCACATATCAGTCTCATGGACATCTTGTTCATTCAAGGCTGGGAATAAAAGTCATGCTTCACATTTTTGGCCATGCAGATTCCTGGAGGGTTTATTCCTGTTGTTCTTGAATCATGCTAGCAGGCTTATCCTGTGTAATACAGACAAGCTTGACCTTCAGAACAAGTCTCAGCCTTGAGGGATACTGTGAGCATGACCTTAAAGGATGGACAAAATTTTTCTTTATCACATTCTTTGGTTTAGGCAGCTGTAATCTCCCTAAATTTGCCTTTAGGCATCTACTGGCTCTTATCATTCAATGCCAAATGATCTCTAAGTTTCACCTTATGTCATCTTCCATTATAATCTGGATCAGCTGCTGCTTCTTTTCCAAGCACCATGCTGCTCAGGTGGAAACCTTTTCTTAGGGTGGCACACCTAAACTGAGAGCATCCTTTTACCCTTGTGTAACAAACGACTTGAAATGCTTGATTATATGGCAAATAACACTTAATATTCATCCAAAAATGAAATAAATTAACACCCCACCAAACTAGATCATGATGCAGACTTAGACTAGATTTGGGAATGCAAATCAGAGCCTTCTCTTCCCAGGCTTAGGCCCTTCCTGAAACTTGTCTGAAAATATGCTAATTCAAAAACTTACAAATGATAGTCAGTCCATCTTTTACTCACAGCTGTTGAGATTTTGAGATCTATTTTCCAATGTTAGTAGACATATTTTTCCCCATTAATTAAACTGGTCTTGCAACCCCCTCATTATTACAAGATCACTATATTCTTATGGCCAGAAGAGGAATTAATGGACAAGTCAAAGGAAGGTGTGATTCAAGATGTGTTGTTCTTAATGAGAATTCTGAAATACGTAATGAAATACATCATTAATTAAATACATCCTGAATTCTGGAATGCATCCCCCCTATTGCTGCAGTCTCATGTGGCCTGAAACCTGCATTGATGGCAGGACCAGGAGTTAGTCAAGCCATTCTATAAGCTGAGTGGACAGTGTCTTATACAGTCAAACAAGTTTATCTTTCCACACAAACAAGGGTTATTAACAGAAAAAATGACCATAAAAAAACATCGTCAAAATCTTGTTGTTCATGAAGTAAAAGGAACTTTAATATATGAATAAGTGGTTCTCATCCATGTTGTCATCCAAATCCTTGTAGAGAGGAGATTATTTCAAACCCCTACAATTTTTCAGGAGTCCCACTTCTAAAATTTATTTACTAAAACTTTCATGCTTTCTCAATGAATAATAAATCAATAATAACAAATTTTTCCCAATTCTTTAATAATGACTGTTCCAAATACATGGAATTGTTAACGTCACTTCTGCATTTCCTGATCTAGCATTTCTCCATTTATCTGTAGCTAACAATAATAATTGAAATTATGCTGTGGCAGATAAAAGAGTGATCTTCACCTGTCTGTATCCTACCTGGCAGTTTTACCTATACCGTGTGAGCTTGAGACTCCCCAGTGCAGCCAGTGTCAGCAAAGTCATTTGATGCTGGAATGGGTGGCAATGTGTAGGATTTTAGCAGAAGATTTTAACAAGTCCATACCAAATGTACATGCCAAATTTCACAGCAACCATAGAATAATTTCCTGATAACTGCAGGAGCAGATTTGTTCTGTTTAAAAAGTGGAGATAAGGCAAAATTCCTAAATTCTACAAGAAACTGGAAGGGCTCTGGAAAAGAGAGCAGAAAAATAGAGCTACATCTATGTTACCAAGTTGTAAACAACAGGAAAACAAATGTGTGGAAGGAAGCAGTTGTTTGTACAGAGGATCTCAACGCCCACACTATACATGTTTTAAAAGACAATACCCTGAGCTATTTCCAGTCTGTACTGTGGAACCATGCAGAGGCTTTGGATCACATCCATTGCTTTAATTTATCCAAATGATATCTGTTTGCATGCTTTGGAACTGTTCTCTGATATGAATCAAAGTACATTAAGTGGAAGCTTTGGGTCCCTTACCTAAAAATTGCAGTCTTTGCTTGACCTGCTGTAGATACATCCCCATGGAACAAAACAAACCACAGTTGTTCAAGTGAAAATTTGAAATTCCCTTTCCTGTTGAGAGGTAAGTTTTACTACAAAACCCTTACTGGATTAATAATTTATCAATTCATATTCTCAGTCCTCATAAGTTAAATTCAGCTGTACTGAATTCAATAAAATTGCCTAATTTACATTCACTAAGGATCTAATCCATGAACAGTCACTAAAGATTTAATTGGGAAACTAAACCATGGTTTAATGACAGGGCTGGTATTTTATTTCTTCAAATTCATTGCCAGTATCAATGCTGATTAGAAGATTAATTTTTTTGTCTTAGAATTTTAAAGTGCTACGAAAGGCTCAGCCATTTTTACTTTAGTGGATTTAGAGACATTTAGTAATAAAATCAACACATCCTTTATATTTTATAATAATGTAGCCTCATGATATAAAGGTCTATAAATTGAAACCATTTTTTCAAAAGAACTGTCATGCATCTAATGTAATCCAAGTGTAATGACAGCAGTATGAAGCTTGCATTTTCAAAATTATGTGTATAGACACATTCCATTAATGTTAATGGCAGTTACAAGGCTAAGGTTCAAATTTTCCTGAGTTAATCCTCTAACTCCCACTGATTTTAGTGATCTTAGGTTAAGGAATAATTTTTAAAGGCCTTCAGCCCCTAAGTTTTTAAATATATCCAGCTCAGAGTGAGTTGTTATCGGTCCAATGATTGTGTTTATTGGCACAGGTCTGATCCATAGCTGGATACTGATTGTATTTCTGCATGCAATGTGCAACAATTTCCTTTGAAGGTTTAACTGTAAGTACATTTTGTGCAGTGGCAGTACGCCATTTAGAGGTAATTTCCTAGTGTTTGGGGAAGGAAGAAAACTAAGAATTGAAATGAAATAAAAATGTCATTTATACGATGCGGTGTCAGAGGTGGAACCCAAACAATGTACAAAAGGTTCAGACTTAATTTTTCTGAAGCAGAAGAAATGAGAGGCATTTCATTTTTGTAGGTGAGAAGTGAAATGTTCCTCTCTGCTCACTGATAGAGGCATGCTAAGGTGAATTTTAATTATGACTAAATTGTGGTATTACTCTTTCATACCCTGAACATCTGTTCCCTTCAGGAGCGATGATTTATGCAGGCTATCACTGCAGACAGCTTGCTACAGCTTATGTCACGGTTAGGAGGAAGCTGGTGGTACTATTTCAGAAAATACCAGCATCTAAGTGGAGACAGGCCAGTGGGTATTTTTAAGGTAGTAGAGAAAGGGGAGCATGATGTGTCTGTTTTCAGTTTTGAAGCCAAATATTCACTTTTTTTTTTTTTTTTTTTTCAG